GGCCCTCCCGACAAGGGATGGCTGAGAAATCGCTGTGGTCGAGAGGAGCCTACGGAGACCTAGGTACTAAACATGATACGGGTCCCGGGAGAGATCCTGGGACAGAAAAAGGATATTCGGTCACCACTAAGGAAATCCGAAGAAACTATGGCCTTCAGTTAATAGTAACGGGTCAAGGACGCTGGTTCAGGGGCTGTAACAAATTCGCCATCCTTTTGCGAAATGTTAATAATAGAGGAACAGATATGGGCTGTATGCAAACCATGCAACCTGATCAATTTTTCTATGACTCTAAAGCTGTTCCAATTTTTATAAAAATGAATTAAATGAAAAAACCCACTCCAGTGGAAGTCCTAATAGTTCCTGGACATACTGCAGTGGAGTGTCTCACACACCTTGTGATATGCCTACAACAGCATGAAAGCTACTTCTTCAAGCTGTTAAGAAAACCAGCTGTTTGGGGCTGGGTGCGGTGGCTCACACCTGTAATCCAGCACATTGGGAGGCCAAGGCAGGAAGACTGCTTGAGCCAGACCAGTCTGGGCAACATAGAGAGACAGACATGGATCAGACAATATAGTTCTTAATATAAATTTTTTTTTTAGAAAATTGCCAAACATAGGGTGGTGGCATGTGTCTGTGGTCCCAGCTACTTGGGAGGCTGAGATGGGAGGATCAGTTGAGTCTCGGAAGTCAAGACTACAGTGAGCAGTGATCACCCTACTGCACTCCAGCCTGGCCAACAGAGCGAGGCCCTGTCTCAACAAAGAAAAAAAAGGAAGCAAAAAAGAAAAAGAAAATGAATTGTTCTCAGGAACGTTCAGGTGAGGTTTTAGAAGACCCAGTCATGGGATCCTCACAGGAGAGTGAGTCTTCTCGTTGCCCTCGCTGGGTAGACTCAGCGCCCTGCCTTCTGAGTTTATTTCCAGAACCACACAGGTCACTTCAGGGACTAAAGGTTTAAAGATGCCTGTACATTATAAAGAAAAAGATCGCTGTCTTTTTTACAGACAAAGAACCTAAGACTCAAGGTATACGTTACTAACTGAGACCTCTGTGATGAAATGCTACAAACTAGTGGCTTAAAACCAGAGACTTCTGCTCCCTTACAGTTCTGGAGGCCAGAAGTCTGAGATCCAGGTGTTATGCAGAGCTGTGCTCCCTTTAAACCTGGAGAGAGACTCTCCCTCACTTCTTGCTGTTCTGGGGTTGCCAGTAATCCTTGGAGTTCCTTGGCTGGCAGCCTCCCGGCTCTGCTCCCTCCCTCTGCTATCACAGGCATTCCTCTGTGTCTGTCTTCATGTGGCATTTTCCTCTGTGTATCTCTTTCCTTCTTTTCAGAAGGACACCAGTTGGATTGGATTGGGGCTCACCCTCATACCCTTGTCTAAAGTCAATCACATCAGCAAAGACCCTATTTCCAAATAAGGCCACATTTGCAGATATCGGGGTATAGGACTTCAACATGCTCTTTGGGGAGACACAGTTCAACCTACAACAGAAGAAGATCCTCCCTCTTAGATGGTCCGAAGACAGTGGGTAGGTGACAGCCAGAGCCATCAAGAGTGTGCTGAGCTTTGCTGAATCTGTTCTCCATGATCCTACACCAGGCACACTGGCTGTGGGCTGGCACTCACTGAGAACATGGTGCTGGGGGTCCAGCCGCCCACTGCTAATGTCATCTTATCGATGTCATCAGAGGAAATGTGAAGAAAAAAATAAGTACGCAAAGAAACTAAAACACCTGATGTCACGTTTCCGTTTACAATCCAGGATTTTTTCCTAATCAGAAGGAACCTAAACCCAAATGCGTACATTTTTAAACACATTCCAGTGTAATTGGTTAATCCGGTCTCCATGACTATAGATTTAACAGCTAACACTATTCCACTGTGTCGATGTACTCTCCTTTGTTGGATATGAAGATTTTCAAATTTTTCACTATTGCAGATGAAGTTTCAAGGAATAAACATGTAACAGAATGGTTTCTTTAACTTTTTTAGGATGAACATGCAAGGTTGGAATTCCTAGGTCAAAGGATATAACAGTTTTCAGTATTTTAGATATTATCATAGAATATTCCAGAAGGGTTTGGCCAATTCACCATGCTGCGTTCCGTGGGGAAGTGAGTCATTTGCCACATTCTCTCCAGCATCAGATGCTGCCGTTTATTTAGTTAGTTTACCAAAAACAAACCAAAGCCACACTGTTCGCGTTTCTTGTTTGTTTTTTTTTTAATACAATGCCATCACACTGGACACAAGCTGAGAAGAGGGGTTTTTTTGGCCACTGTTAATGTTTGTTGACTACGTAAGTGACAGGAATAAACGAATGGAGGTAGGCTTTGAGCCCAGGCAGCTTACAGTGGGCATAGTGGGTACACTGTGCAGTGAGGGGCTGGACCCTGTGAAGATGCCAGGTACAGAGACAGCCAATGTCGCTTGCACACTCACTGTGAAGGAGGGTGCCTGTCAGCCCCATGAGGTGATGGCCCCACTTTACAGATAAAAATACTGAGCCTCGGGTCAAAGAGCTGGCTAGTGATGGAGCCAGTGTCTGACCACGGAACTGGCGCCTCGGTCCTCTGGCACCTGCTTCTCTGACCACGGGGATTGGCCTCTAACCTGGGAGCCAGAACGATTCCCCATGGTACCTGCAAGGAAGCTCTGCCTACAGGTGTCTATAAAACCATGTTATTCACGAGGCAGGCCTCCTCCCTGGGGGGTCCTGGCATTCTCCCTCCAGCTGGGGTTCTCCTGTGACTGCTGGCGAGTCCTTGGAATCGCCGAGAGTTCCTTCTGTGAGGAGTGGCCAAGAGTAGAGGAGGTTTTCTCATTAATCGGCCCAGAGAGTTGTTGCCCACAGTGAAGCGTGGATAATTGCCATTTTTAATGGGGTTGATTTAGCAGCAACAATTTTGCAATTTTCTCTTTTCCCTGGGGCTGTCACCTGGGGCCCTGCACACCTGGGAAAGATGGTGGGCTGCTGGGGTCGGTCTTGCTACCCCTTGGGGCTCGGCCAGCTTCAGGGCAGGGCATGTGCTCCTCAGACCACCTGGGGACTTAATTAGCCCCCAGCAGCAGGGCCCTGAGGGCTGTGAGGGGCAACTGGGGCCGGCCCTCCCCCAGGGAGCCGGGTTTTCCTTCTCCACGACGCGGCAATCCCTCACCGCCACGGCCTGTGCGCACCGTCCCTAGCTCTGCAGGGAAAGGTTAGGCCAAGTCGAACCGGAGGGTCCCCTGCGCGCTCTGTGGGAAGCGCTCCGCGGATGGGGCCTGCGTCCTTGCCGGGCTTTGTGGGCAGGGAGCAGCGCGGTAGGCGGAGCTCCTGGGACCCGCTCAATGCCTCTCCGGTTTACACATTAAATATTTTAAGACTCATTTCAGCCGGGCGCGGTGGCTCAAGCCTGTAATCCCAGCACTTTGGGAGGCCGAGGAGGGTGGATCACGAGGTCGAGAGATCGAGACCATCCTGGTCAACATGGTGAAACCCCGTCTCTACTAAAAATACAAAAAACTAGCTGGGCGTGGTGGCACGTGCCTGTAATCCCAGCTACTCAGGAGGCTGAGGCAGGAGAATTGCCTGAACCCAGGAGGCGGAGGTTGCGGTGAGCCAAGATCGCGCCATTGCACTCCAGCCTGGGTAACAAGAGCGAAACTGGGTAACAAGAGCGAAACTCCGTCTCAAAAAAAAAAAAAAAAAAAAAAAAAAAAGACTCATTTCAGCGTGAAAGAAAGGGTTACTCAGTAAGAATGGAGGATTGAAGCCACACAGGACGCTGCGTGAGGATTCAATGGACTGTTCTGGAATGGCGCCTGGGTCAGTGGGAGGAGCCCACCCACTATGTCCTTGGGGTTAGGGTGAATTGGCCAAGTGGGGCACTGTCCCCCCACACCCGCATGAAGGTGTGGGCTCGTTCTCTCTTGCCGACACTCAGGCTCAGCCAGTGCGCCGCCACTTCCCCATCTCCTTCCTCTTCGGGACTCCACCCAGTGCCGCTGGGGGCCCATGTCTGCAGGTCTGTGCCAAGCTGTGCCTGCCCTCTTGGCGCCTCCAGGGTACCTGCGCCTCACGTGGCTTCAGTGGGAACCTTCCCGTGGTCCTAAGAAGCCTGGAGTGTCCCAGGCCTCTGCTGCAGACTCGGCCTCAGGCCTCCCGGGCCTCACCTGAGGGTCACTGGGGTAAAAGGTGGCTCTCCCTTCCTGTGCTCCCTCCATAGCCTCAGGCAGCTTCTGAGGACACCTGATGGGTCCATGAGGGCCCTCCAGGCCTTCAGAAAGAAATTCAGGCTGGACGCAGCCATGGCTGTTCACGGTGGCCTTCCAACTGTGCCCTGTTCAGGCAGGTGCCAAGTGGACCCTGCTAGGGATTCGTTCGTTTGCGTGCTATCCACGGATCCAAAGAGAATGCCACATTATCTGAGGGGACAAAAAGAAGCGCCTGAGACTGGAGCCACACTTGCTAGCCAGTCCAGGACCCACCTTCATGCAGCGGAGTGGCTCCAGGCAGGGTTGCCAGAGCCGGCGAGGACCACTGAGCCAGCTGAGGGCGCGCGAACAAGGTGACACGCTTGTCTCGGTGCTCTGGACAGCCCACCACGCTCTTCTGGGTGTCTCCTCTGTGGGCCGCAGAAGGCGTCCCTGCAACTGGACTGTGCCCTTCCAGTGGGGCCTCGTCGTTCCAGTTGGGCCATGTCCCTCCACTGGGGCCTTGCCCCTCCAGTGGCTGTGTCCCCGTAGCCTCAGAGGAAGGAGGGGGCAGAGGGCTTCTCCTGTGCTCTGGCCTCCTGGAGCTCGTGCTCCGCAGAGAAGCCGCATTGCACTGAGCCTCTTTGCCTGCACCCTGGCATCCCTATGGGGCTCTGCAGGGACGAGCGGGTTCTTTTTATCTACAGTACTGTTCGCTAGCTAGGACGCTTGTTTAGGTCGGAACAGACAAGCTCTCCCCCTGCCCCTGGGGCTTGTCTTTTATATTACAACAGCTCCATTTGTATTTCACAGATATCCACATCCTTGCACCCAAGGCAATCTGTGGAAAGCATCTGATGGGAGGAGGCTGAGTCCTCTTCAGTTTGACGCTGTGGATATTGAACTACTCCGCTGAAGAACTGGCAACCCAGAGCCCTCCCAGTTCTCCTGCTGAAGTGCTCTTTCTACAGAGGGGCGTGGCAGCAAGGTGAGCTCTGCTGCCCAGCCCAGGCCTGGTACAGTAGCCTGGTTATCAGTCCATTTAGCGGTCCTGCTCACGGCCTGGAAAGGAGACTTCCCACGGGGCTTCTCCTACTGGGATCCACATTCCACGTTGTGGGGTGGGTGGGGCAGGAGGGAGCATGAAGCTTGGTCCTTGGAGGCACAGGTCAGGTGCCGGGCATTGGGCAGGGGCTGGTGGGAGCAGGAAGCTTGGTCCTTGCGGGCACAGGTCAGGTGCTGGGAGTTGAGTCCTAGCCCTGAGTTCTTGATAAGCCATCAGTCACTTTGCCTGGGAGGAAACCCATCAGGAAGCCTGGAGGTCTCACGAGGCAGGCGGAATCTGGGACCCACCCACAGTGGTGATCAGGTGATGCTTTCCTCTGCTAAGGAATAGAAGAGAGCTGTGGCTTTGCAGGTGGGTGGCAAAATCTCGGGGTGGCTGGCTCCATCAAGTCACCCTTCAGACCTCCCTCCTGGGCCATCCACGTGGCAGGCAGCCTGCTCCTCATCTCAGGGCCTTACTGTGAGGGGTGTAGCCATATGCTGTCACCCATCCTGCGTCAACTTCCCCTGCAGTTTCAAAAGGACATGTTGACTATAATTCTGAAAACATGCTCTACTGACTTGCAGGGGTCCCTGCTCTTGTCCTCTGCTATAGGACAGACAGGGTCTGTTCCGGTGAAATTGGCGACATGCCGTGAGAACAGAGGTGAACAGCCAGGGACTTTCTACATGCTGTTGTGTTTGCATTGGCAAAAGGTTTGCGTATCTTGAAGGTTTGATTTTTGGATTCCATGGGAGCTTCTCATGACTGGACCGTACTCCTATCCCTGTTAGTACCAGCTCTCTCATGCCTTTACATGTTGGCACCTGGTCTTTAGAGTAGAAGATGGCACAGTTGTCTTTTGTTGGTTAATGCCACAGTGTGGAGGTGACGGCAGGTGACAGTAGCCCAGAGGTCTGGAAGGCAAAACAAGAAACCCATCTTATTCTGAATCCAGGGCAGCAGGAACCCTCTGAATCCTGCAGACCCAGTGAGGCCTTGTACAACCCTCCTTCCACCCACTGGAAGCCTTCTCTTAAAGACTATGTAAACCACCCGTAATCAAATCCAATTAAGAGGAGACAGTCTAACTTCAAACAAATGGTGAACCAACAGAGCATTCTCCGGTGAGCTACAAATTTTACGCCTTGGCACCTTCAGACGTTGTCAGGCCGAGCACATACCCAACTCGGAGCCAAATACACTAATGCAGAGAATTAGTTTCAAAGCACATGAGAGACTGGGAAAAAGAGAGTGATATTTAGGACTTAATAATTTAAAGTCCCAGTTCACTCTATAGGAGTATAAGCAGACATGCTATCCTGGCAATAGCACCGATTACCTTTTCGTTTCGTAATTAAAATATTCCGGGAATTTGAATTTACAGGATATTAACTCCTTTTTAGCAAACCTTATACCATTTGTCCCATCTCTGTCCCAGTTAAGAAAACGTTTCTCCATGGAGACAGTCAATGTTTTTAATAAAAAGTCGATAATCCATTTTCTCCGTATGTTAAAAGTAACTCAAGTTAAAACTTAGGATTCTATGTGTTCCATGTGGCGTTTTTCCTTTCTTGCAGTCTGAGCCAGAGAAGTAAAAACAATTTACAAAATATAGGGAAATGGCATCACACTGGCCAGTCTGAAGCAACGCTTCTTCATAGTATGAGCTGAAGGATGACTCTGACACCAAGAGGTGTCCTTGGACCGTGGGTCGGTGTCCCAGGAAAGGAGCACATAGAGCCAGTGTCTGGGGCGCAATATGAGCTCCACTCCATTGAAAAAATGTCAATTGCAGTGCAAACCGTATGCATTTCTATCTTCTTCAATGAGCAAAGAGTTAAACTGTGGTATATCCAGACCAGGGAATAGTACTCTGTAATAAAAAAGGAATCAAATCATGGATACTCACAGCTGCTCGGATGTATATCCAGAAAATGTTGTTGAGTGAACAAAAATGTCACTCTCGAAAGGTTATGTACACTGTATGACGTCACTGATATGTTAATAACATTCTTGAAATGACAGAATTATAGGAATGAAGAACAGACTAGTGGTTGGACATGAGTGAGAGGTGGGGGTGGGTAGGGCAGCCCTGGGAGGGAGGTCAGGACACATGAGGATGCCCTATGGTGACCTTGGTGGTGAACATAGGAACGTACTCATGTGAGAAAATGTATAGAAGTCAACACACTCATGTGCAGCTACTGAGCACAAGCAAAAGCTGGGGGAAATAGGAGTGACATTGGTGGGTTATGTTCATGGCAGTGTCCTGGTTGTCTTACTGTTTTGTAAGACATGATAGTTTTATAAGATGTTGTCACTGGGGGAAATTGAATAAAGGATACCTGGAATTTGGTGATTTCTTACCACCGCTTATGAATCATTGATGATCACACACACACACACACACACACACACACACACACACACACACTTTTTCTGAGACAGAATCTCGCTGCCACCCATGCTGGAGTGCAGTGGTGCAATCCTGGCTCACTGCAAGCTCTGCCTCCCAGGTCAACTGAGCCTCCCACCTCAGCCTCTGGTGTAGCTCGGACTACAGTCATGTGCTACCACGCCCAGCTAATTTTTGTGTTTTTTGCAGAGATGGGGTTTCACCACGTTAGCCAAGCTGGTCTCGAACTCCCAGGCTTAGGCAATCCTCCTGCCTCAGCCTCTCAAAGTGCTATATTACAGGTGTGAGCCTTTGTGCCTGGCTAAAAAAAAAATAATTAAAAGGAAACATAAGTGCAAATGGTCTCAGAATTCATTTGTATATGTGTCCTTAATATCAGGTCATGGCTCTATCATGTTGCCCTCTTTCGTGGTGTTCATAGACTGCTTTCCCGTAACAGTCTGAGTCACTGGACACTGAGTCAGTTCTGATCTTGACACAGGCAGTTCACAGTCTGGGGGGGCAGTCAAGGGCTTCCTGGCATCCCCCAGAGGGCTGGAGGGGAGCTCTGAGCTGGGTAGATGCGACAGAATGGATCTGGAAGTCTGGCAGGAGGCCTTGGAGTGGGGCCAGAGTAGGCAGGCTTTCTCCTGCCTGAACACAGGATGGCCTGGAGCCCCCTGTAATCACTGAGGTTGATTTCAGTCAACCAAGAGGTGTATATTGTGACAGAAGGGACTGAACTCGGGGTTCCAGAGAATCAGGCTCTCCCTGTGCGTGGCTGGGAGACCCTGAACGTGGCCCGGAAGGTCTCTGTTCAGAGCCTTGTTTTCCTCTCTGAAATGAGAGTAACAGAAAGTTGAATTCGAGGGTGTCTCATGAGGCTCATGTGAGATGCCATAAGTGAATGTCCTTGAAAGTCTCTACAACCCTGCCTATTTTTATTCCCAGAAGCCCCAGGGTGCAGTCAGCACTGCAAAGTCAGAGCTGCCGAGGTTGAGGGCAAGGGTAAGGCTGTGACTGGCTCTGTGCCCAGCATCATCATTTGGGCTTCTGTAGGGGAGGCATTGAGAGTGGACCCCCGGTCTCTGATTGGGGCGCTGTTTGGCTGGTCATTCCTTGTCCTGAGAGAGGACACTGCCTATATACAGGGGGAAGGTGTGGAGGCCGGAGGTTGCTGTGCCCGTGGGCAGACCTGTGGTGCCCAGCAGGCAGGAGGTGTTCCTTTCTGGGGTTTGGGAGGAGGCAGGAGTGAATACACGTCTGGGTGTCATCGAGAGGCAGATGCTTGGGGAAGCCTCGGGCCCAGATGGGGACATCCAGATGCTGGGGATCCCGGAGTTCATGCGGAGAGAAGGTCAGCACCAGGGCTAAGACCCTGGAAAGCCCTACAGTGTGGTCTTCATGGCTGCAGGCAGGTGACAGATGCTGGCGACTGAGAACTGTGGATCAGGGGACAGCAGGGCCACAGAAGTGGACAAGCTACTGCTCCCATGTCTGGAGCCTAGATGGGGAGCTGGCATCCCAAGACCCAAAGCCAGCTCTGCTGTTTGTTCTGTGGTTTTAGGAGAACTGGCACCCTACTTTCTCAGCCTCCTTTTCCGGATTATTAAGATGAAGGGTGGCTGAATCAGGGATTTGCTAGCTGGCCCTCAGGGTCCTTGGGGGGCCCACGGACCCTGTTATGGGCCACAAGAGGTGGGGGTGGGGCCTATCCCATGCTTTAAGTTTCTTTGGGTATGTATATGTCCTTATGTGCGTGCGTTGTACCTGTGTGAGTGTACCTGTATGAATGCATTTGTGTGTACCCATGTGAGCGTACCTGCATGAATGCATTTGTGTACCTGCGTGAGTGTATCTGTATGAATGCATGCGTGTGTACCCATGTGAGTGTACCTGTATGCATGCATGTGTGTGTACCCATGTGAGTGTACCTGCATGAATGCATTTGTGTGTACCCGTGTGACTGTACCTGTATGAATGCATGTGTGTGTACCCGTGTGAGTGTACCTGTATGAATGCATGTGTGTCTACCTGTGTGAGTGTACCTGTATGAATGCATGTGTGTGTACCTATGTGAGTGTACTTGTATGTATGCATGTGTGTACCTGTGTGAGTATACCTGTATGTATGCATGTGTGTGTAACTGTGTGAGTGTACCTGTATGAATGCATTTGTGTGTACCCATGTGAGTGTACTTGTATGAATGCATGTGTGTGTGTACCTGTGTGAGTGTACCTGTATGAATGCATGTGTGTGTACCCATGTAAGTGTACCTGTATGTATGCATGTGTGTGTACCCGTGTGAGTGTACCTGTATGAATGCATGTGTGTGTACCTGTGTGAGTGTGCCTGTATGCATGCATGTGTGTGCACCTGTGTGAGTGTACCTGTATGAATGCATTTGTGCATACCCATGTGAGAGTACCTGTATGCCTGCACGTGCATGTGTGTGTACCTGTGTGAATATACCTGTATGTGTGCATGTGTGTGTACCTGTGAGTGTACTTGTATGCATGCATGTGT